TCCCCATGGGTAATTCTCAAATCTTTCCAAGTCCATGACTAGCCTTGCAAGACTAGCCCGTGTAGGAGAAGAGAACTTTCTGGCTTCAATGTATCATGCGTAGATGGCAAGGTATCCCAGCCGCATTCGATCATCCCGAGACCACCCGTCACACTTGGTAAATGTTGTTCTTAACTGTTCAATGCTTGGCCCAGCATGGGGATCAACACCCATCTTCTCCCAGAAAGCAGTCATCTCCTGAGAAATCTCACACCTTGGATTTTCCAAATTTGGGATGTAGTCGCTGTTCAGACCTGTGAGGTTTTCAAACTCTAGAATTGAAAACCTCAAAGGTTCTGGTCCGGCAAGAGTCCAGAGCTCAAACTTCTTCTTGATCTCCAGCTGGAAGGAGAGAATAAAATGTACAAGCCTTGAAGTCCAAACAAAGCCAAGCTCCTTGAACTTGATGAATATTCCCAACTTTGACGCTTTCAGATCCTCATATTCATCAGGTCTGAGATTATCAGATAGAGCTTGAAACAACTTCTTGTCATCAGAATGATACGAAATGCTCCTCAGTGCAGGGGGCTCTTCTCTTAATGTAAACAACCTCGGCGGCAGTTCTGATATATCCATTTTAAGGCCTGCAAACAATCACAAACAACCATCTCAACCACAAAGGTAGCGCACTATTCTAAATACTATTGAAGACTAGCAGACGACTTCCAGGAAGTGAGAAGACTACTCAGACGACTTCCTGGAAGTCTTCTACAGAGTCTTACTCTCTGGACGACTTACATGTAAGTCGTCCAGAGAGTAAGACTTCGTAAAAGGCTTCCAGGAAGTGAGAAGACTACTATGACGACTTACAGTCGGAGAAGATCTAGTCGGAGAAGATGTGGTCCCTAGCGGTTACAGATCTGCATATCGAAGGGAAAAGAAGGGTCAAGACTACAATTTTTAGGGTTTTCCGGCGGCTAAACGCCTTAAAACATAAGATATAACATTCCGGTGGCGGAGGAAAGGGTTACGAGATTTCAGATCTGAAAAAAGGAAGCAGATGGTCAGTTTAAACTACGAAAATACTCTAAGGCATGAAAGAAAAACGAGATTCGTCGAAATCGGAGAGATTACCGGCGAAAACAGAGAGATTCGTCGAAATCGGAGAGATTCGTCGAAATCGCCTTTACAATCGTCCTTGGAGAGAAACGGCGCTAGGGTTTCGAAAAATTGTGAAAAAGTGAAAAAAATAACTTTTATATGTGCGGTAAAAATCCGGTTAGGTTAAAACGTAAAATGTTAAAATTAACGGTTCGGTACAATTAGACGACTGAAATTTCAGTCGTCTGGGAAATAATTTAAAGCAGACGACTGAAATTTCAGTCGTCTGGGAAATAATTTAAAGTTTAGTCGTCTGGGAAATAATTTAAAGCAGACGACTGAAATTTCAGTCGTCTGGGAAATAATTTAAAGCAGACGACTGAAATTTCAGTCGTCTAATCCCTAAACATAACCCCTAAACTTTATTCTCTAATTAAACACTTCGAAACATCAATTTAAACTTGAAAAAATGTTTACTATACACATAAATAAACACATAGAGGTCAAATTAATTTTTTCAAAAAAACATTTCAACTTTTCAAAATCTAACCCTAAGATTACATACAATACTACAACATATGTTTGCCAAACCCTTAAACCAAAGAATATCATGATTCACTACTTCCACTCATCTATGCTGAAAACAAATCAACTTTATCATTTCTTAATTTATATCACTTATAAATGTTTATAATTACATGTTTTTAATTTTTCACTCATCAAAATATTTTGTNCGACCCAGACAACTTACTGGGGTTATATTCGTAAAAAATGTCTTCTGTTTTTTTCTTTGGTCACAGAACACTATACTGTAATGTCATAGTCCTTTTAGGTTAGATTTGCATTTGATTCAAGTTGGGGTCTAGTATTGGGGTTAAAACCAAGTTATGAGTTAGTTTTGGTAAAAATCCCTTCTTTCTTTCTTTCTTTCTTTCTTTCTTTCTTGGTTTTAAATTTTAATAGTTTTTAACTTTTAATCCTTAATGCTATATTGTTCATTTTCACATAATTTTGTGTTTTTTGGTTTATTACATATCTGGTCTTTTATCAAGTAAATCTCTATTTTGTAACAAGACTATTATCTTATATGGTGAAACATCATATTTAGTTAAATTTTGAGGATTTAATTGTGAACTTTGGTGTATGAAGGGAACCGTTGTCCCCCTGTATTTTTCCGTGGGGGATAATTAATATGTAACGTTTCTCCATAAAATCGTGTCGGTGTGAGCTTTGGTAGTAAATATAATTTAACTGATCACGTACCATCACCGTTTCTGATACAATTGCTATGCACAATGATTATATTGGTTCTCGATGAATATTAATAAAGTATGTCATTAGAGAAAGATCACGTAGCATCACCGTTGCGTTCTTTGGTTTTTACTCTGCCCCATACGATTCCCATGCACGAATGATGAAACGTCCCTTATTTTTATAGATTATTATTTTGGCAACTCAGTTACATTTTTGTTTGCTCCATCTCCCATGCATATACTTGGCCTTTATAAAGTTTTAACTAATAATTCTTCACGTATAAAGAATAGATCCTTAAATCAAATATATACTCTTAACCAATTCTAAGGTTTATACGAAAGAAATTATATTTTATTTTATTTTATTTCTAAATAAACTAATAATAAAATTTAACAGAATTCCGAAAGATGCAAATAGAACCATCGTCCGACACATAAAACGACTCAATGTAATGAATTATCATAAAATAAATAGAATTGCTACTGATTTTTTAAATTTTCTAAATGTAAATAAATTAATATCTAAATTAAATATGTACGTCATAAGTACCTCGTTTAATATCATATGATTCTTAGAAAGTTATAACGTCAATTTTAGATTTATTAAAATCTGTATAACCATTTTATAATTGGTTGAAACATTTTAAATATGTATTTTAGTTATACTTTTTATAAAAAAGTAGCTTTCGTAATCTTTGCGTTTTTAGTCATAATATTTTTTATATTATGAAACATAGGAAATATATGCCAATTTTATTTTGGTCAAAAGTATATGGCAAAAAATTTTTAAACTAACCAAGACAATTCCTGAGGAAGCTGAAACCAATCTGCTCCGAACAAAAAGAAGAAACTAACCTACGAACCTAGCCCATGGGCCTATTTACTCAACGAGCTCATTTATGTTAAAAGGCCTGACAACATCAACCCTTATAAAGCTGACCAGTCACTAATAGACTGAGCCCACGCACGTGTTGAGGAGGCGGGAAAACAAAGCTCATCGGCGCCGGAGAGACTGAGAGAGAGAGAGAGAGAGACAGAAACCTTCCGCTCGCTAATTCGCTGCCATCGTCATGGGTATCAAGGTCTGATGGGTTTTCCATGAATCGAAAGATTAACCTCAAAGTTTCAATTTTTATTTACGAATCCGATTTAAATGTGTAATCTTTTTTTTTAGGGTTTAACGAAGCTTTTAGCCGACAATGCGCCTAGCGCCATGAAAGAACAGAAATTCGAGAGCTACTTTGGTCGGAAAATAGCGGTTGATGCAAGCATGAGCATTTACCAGTTCCTTGTTCGTTTCCTTCTTTCTTTATTTCACATTAAAACATTTAAAGAGAGTACCTTTTTCTGTAGTAGTGTGATTCCTCCTGAGATTTGATTATGAGTGCAGATTGTGGTGGGGAGAACTGGGACTGAGATGCTCACCAATGAAGCTGGTGAAGTCACTAGGTTTAACTCTTTCCACATTTGTAGCCATTTGGATCCTACGGTCTAATGTATTTTTAGCTATTAGCAAGTGTTAATGCCGTGTCTCTGTTTTTGAACGTGTAGCCATTTGCAAGGGATGTTTAATCGAACCATTCGTCTTCTGGAAGCTGGAATTAAGCCTGTGTAAAACCTTCTTCTCCTACCTTCTTTTTTTTTTTTTTTTTTTACTTTCTTCTGTGGCTAGTGATTTGGCTCTTATACTACTTTTAGTTAAGTTTGTTCTGAATGTTTTTGCTACAGCTATGTTTTCGATGGAAAGCCCCCGGAGTTAAAGAAACAAGAACTAGCCAAACGGTATATATGTATTACTATCTCGGATGCTGCTCAAAATTATATGTTAATATGAGTTTATTAACTGTTGGTTTATCCATTCTACTCTTGGTTCAGTTACTCTAAGAGAGCTGATGCAACTGAAGATCTGAGTAGTGCAATTAAGGTTTGTCACTCTTACTTGTCTTTCGACTTAGCTTTGTTTTACTATTGAAAGAGCACAACTTTAGAAGCTATTTAATGCTCACAGGAAGGAAACAAGGAGGACATTGAGAAGTACAGCAAACGAACTGTGAAGGTAGTCTATTCTTATTTCCTCCTTTGAATCCTTAGATTCCTCAGTTTTTTAATAGCATCCAGTTCAAAGCAATTGAATCTACTACTCTTCTTAATCCATATGTAATATCCCTCTCTCCAGGTGACAAAACAACACAATGATGACTGCAAAAAACTCTTAAGACTCATGGGGGTCCCCGTTGTTGAGGTACTTATGTGTAGAATCCCCTAAGCCTAATTCTCTGCTATTAATTATGTTAAAATTAAAATGGCTAAAGTTTCGAACAAGAGACTGATGCGTTTTAACCATACAGGCCACATCCGAAGCAGAAGCGCAATGTGCTGCACTTTGCAAAGCAGGAAAGGTCTGTATTATTTTCTCTGTTTTTTTTAGGTGTTTTACTGACAGTTTAGAGGGAGACCGGTGTCTAAGTGGATGTTTTACAAGGTATATCAGCTCCAATGTTTTCTAGTGATATACTTCTATCTGTCTAGGTGTATGGTGTGGCTTCTGAAGATATGGACTCCTTAACTTTTGGAGCTCCTAAATTTCTTCGCCACCTGATGGATCCTAGCTCCAGAAAGATCCCTGTCATGGAATTTGACGTTGCCAAGGTTTCCCCCTCACACACTATCCTTTCTTCCACTTATTGAATGAGATAATTTCTGAAGTTGGGGTTTTGTATCAGATTTTAGAAGAGCTTCAACTTACCATGGATCAGTTCATCGATTTGTGCATATTGTCTGGATGTGACTATTGTGACAGCATCCGAGGTATCTTGAGATTTTTTTTTTAAATAATCAATTTCTATCTTTCAACTATGATGGAATAAATCAACATTTTATGTTTAATCTGTTAAAAGTAGAGCGCAGGTGGGGAACTAATATGCATTTTGTACCTCAGGTATCGGAGGGCAGACTGCCCTAAAGCTTATTCGCCAGCATGGATCTATTGAGTCTATTCTCGAAAATATAAACAAAGAAAGGTTTGACTCTATTTAACTATCAAATACTTTGATTGGTGATGACATATGGAACTTATGATATAAGAGGTCATACGAACCAACATAAGCGAATGTTATAACTTACAAATTTAGTGTAGCTGGTTGCACTTTACCTGTGCCTTATGCTGAAAATAGTTAGCTCCTCTATTCATTGCTATAACCACATATCTAAGAATCATATTTCTTTCAGTTGGTTGTCTATTCGAAACTAATCCATCGTATCGCCTTTTACCATTTTGGTATCTTATATAGGTATCAGATACCCGAGGAGTGGCCATATAATGAAGCTCGTAAACTCTTCAAAGAACCTGATGTCTTAACTGATGAAGAGCAGCTTGATATCAAGTGGACCTCTCCAGATGAAGAGGTCGAAACCTAGCTCTCCCCTTTCCTGCGCTACATAACCTTTAAATCTCTTACAGGACATTTTCTCAGTTACCTCTTGTTTTTCTCCTTTACCAGGGTATAGTTCAGTTTTTGGTGAATGAAAATGGATTCAACATTGATAGGGTAACCAAGGTATGTTACCATACTTTGTTCCGTGTTTCCATATATGTGCGATCATTCATTCTGACAAATATCGTGGTTTATCTAATCTTATTATTTAGGCGGTAGAGAAAATCAAATCTGCAAAGAACAAGTCATCACAAGGAAGGTTTGCACTTTTTGAACAAACTAGTTATAATTATAAGCTTGTCCATCTCCTTTCACTCATTTCTTTCTTAAACGCTTCACAGGCTGGAATCATTTTTCAAGCCAGTCGCTAGCTCATCCGTGCCTGCAAAGAGAAAGGTTTGTCTCTTACAATTTATTACTTCTTAAACTCCTCTATTTCTACTTGTACATGAATGTGTACGTCCTATCATCTTTGAAGTACAAAAGGAACACTCGTTAGTAAAATAATTGGTAATCCAGTTCTTGGTTCTTGAAACATTGTTTACCTTCATGCGTTCTGCCTGCATCTTGGTGATTATGAATTCATGTTACATGTTCATATACTATCCCGCCACATATTCTTAATAGATGTCCACAAGTGGATGTGCACATTATACACACGTTAGGTAAACTTTTGAATCCTAGTCGTCTCTGAGGTGATTCCTCAATGTACTGGATCACAGGGTGGTACCAAATGCTTGCTCGGGCAGTTTAAACCAGCTTTCATCAATAAAGTGTCTTCTCTGCACACTTTTGGATGTAACACGTCCATTAACATCGTTAGCCCTAGGATGTTCTCTCTATCCCGGGGTTCCAATCTTTCTGTTCGAATGGCTGGAGCTGGCATAGGCACAAGCATCTAAAATATCACGGTGCACTTTTAAAAACAATCTGCCATAGTTTCTATTTACCTCTGGAAACTATCTTCATTGACTATGTGCGGCCTTCAAATTCATGGGATCAATAAGACACTCTAGTTTGTGTGTGTACTTGTTTCTTTCTCGACATACATGGATCATTTGGTGTTTACGAACTCTTGTTTTACTTGGTAATAGGAAATCCCAGAGAGTAAAACTAAAGGAGCAGCAAATAAAAAAACCAAGGGAGGTGGTGGGAGGAAGAAGTAAATCACAGTCCCAGAGGCAGTATAAGTCAGTACGTTTTCTGCTGCAAAGATCTTGACAGAAGATCGAGAAACTGTGATTGGTTTTCCTATGTCTAAGTAGTCTGTTTGCTTCTTCGTTTTTTTTTGTCTTTACTCTGTTTCAGTATGTTTGTCTCTGTTTTCTTAGTGTTAGAAACTTATGGAGTTATGGTTTATGACTTTATGTGAATGTTTGATCATGAATTGTCTTTGGCAAGGAGAAAGATTGTGTTTGTGTACTGCTAATGTGATGTAAAAGCAAAGGATCTAATGATATTAAGACTTGGTGCTGATATCAAAGACTCATCATATGATACAAAAATATGAAACATGATAACATAATAGAAGTTTTGTATTGGCTACAAACTGAAGGCTTTTACATGTATGGAAAGAGGATTCAAACTATGGTGCAGCCGCCTCCGCTATTATAGGTACTAACTGTTACCATGTCACATGTATTGTAGTATGGAGGGCAAGGCTGAGGGTAAAACTGAGGGCAAGTCTTCCAACACACTGGCTTGGTCTCTTCTTTTTTGGGCTCTTCTTTTTTGGCCTCCGGAGGTTTTGGTGGTCCAATATTGACTACTACTGGCTTCTGTTTGATCTTCCTTAGCTTCTCTGCAACGCAGATCGGATCCATTGTGCCCACCACCGTAAGCAAGCTCTTCTCTTCATCTAGTACAACCTGATTAATACCTGTATTCAAACTTCTAATCTTTATAATTGCATCTCTCATATATCTGCAGATTTGGTAACATGTTTTGTTGTTTATAAAACATACCTTCTATCTCTGCAACAGCCTGCATGATTGCGTTTTTGCATTTCCCACAGTTGATGTCCACTTTCATCTCAACTTTCTGCTCACAACCGAAACAAACAAAACCTTTTGTGTCATGAGAAGAAAAATATCTAAATATTTGTTCATTTATAAGTAGTATAAGCCTGTTCTTACCTTAACCACCATGGTTTAGATTTTTGAAAAGAATATGTATTATGGAATCTAGAAATGAATAGAGGAGAGAAAAGTTAGAAACATATAAAGAGAGGGAGATGGATGAAGCAGAAGCAGTTTAGTTTTGTCTCTTATTGTTCTCATTTCTCATCATCTTCCTTTTTAATATAAGAATCGTCTTTGTTACAGTTTTGAAGAGCGACTTGGACTTGGACTAAGTCTTTTAATCCTAATCTTTAACTCACTGTTGCTACATACGTATCTCTCTATACGTATGTGTTACGTGTGTGTGCATATAATTATTATCATATGTACATTTTAAACTATAGTATTTCTTGGTAGCGTTTACTTGGTTGATATATATATAACATCCAAGAATGATTGTAGTCCCCAAGTCTTATCGATTTGCAATTGACCCTTTATTTTATATACTAATAATGTTGTGCACTTGACAATGACATTTTAACAGCCAGTATCTGTCGGCCTTTCTCAAGAATCCGGTTCGATATGGTCACAAATAAATCTTCTGAAAACTGGACCGTGATTCAGTAGATCTTCCCGGTTTGGTTATTAACGATCAGTTTGGTTATGTAAAAAACGAAATAAACAGCCAACTTCAGTTTACCTTTTTTACTAGGATAAGACCTACGCCTTGCGCGGGGTTAGATTAAAATAGAACAATTTAATCATATGGTTTTGACAAAAATTAGGATTATACATCGTAGTTGTGTTATATATGAATATATATATATATATATATATAAGATTTAAGATATTGTATATAATCTTTTTGTATTTACTGGAAGCCGAATGAATGTAATTTGGATTATGGATCCTACTTTTTTAGTTCAAGTCATTGGCCGATTTCGTTGCATATGTTGAAATTTAAGATAGAAAGTATGTTAAGTTTTTTACAAACTGATCTATGAAAAAGATGATATATTATCAAAAATAAAATTACCCTAATAATAAAATTTTGGAATGTAAGAATTTTAATTTCAAATATAAAATGCAAATCCAAACTATAATAACATATACCAATATATTGAATAAGCTAAACAATTTAAATAATCTAAATAATAAATTAAAGAAAAAGTTAAATATTTATTTAGTTCTTTAAATCTTAAAAATCAACTTTATCCACGAATATTGTTTCTGGTTTATATAGCAGAGTACATGAACTAATTTCAATACGACTTATATATATAATCAAAATTTAAATAATTTGGAATATATAATGGAAATCCAAATTATAATAATATACACCAACATATTGGATAAATTAAATATTTGATCAAATTACTTATGGGCCAACTTCCATATCAAATACATTGAAAGACTAAGTTTTTAAAAGATTATTGTCTAGGCCCAAATTAGTTTCATACTACATTTTCAGAAATAGGTTATATGACATTTGTTTTTGCGTTTAATCTGATGAACTCTACACACCTTATTCTCTTCCTCTCGATTTTTGTTGGTGATGTTTCCCAATTTCCATCGAAACTCTTACCGTCCTTTTGTTTAACAAAATCTACGTCCATAGATATTCAGTCAGATCAATTCATTGTTGCCTTGATCAACAGTGTTTTCATTGGCTACGCCAATCAAAAGTTCCAGGTTATGCTCTTGCAAAACAAATCTAGATATGAATCGGTTTTTTTCGTGATTGATCTGAATTTGATCCAAATCGTATATAATTTTCACAAAGCCATCTCCGTCGTCTCCAAGCCGTGATGCAATCGCTTCACCTCTAGTCGCGGGTACCATCTCTCACTGTCACGAATGGGATGAAAGCTCGCCGAAGAGCAGCAATGGGGATTTGTTGATTATTTCCAAAACAGGTCCCTAAACTTCTGGTTCTTTACAGCAATTGCAAACAATTCAGAATTCCTCTGGTTTATTTTTTTTGGTTAAAACTCTGGTTTACTTCTTAAGCACAAAAAAAGTTTGTATGACAATTAGAGTTATATAATACTTGACATGAAGGTTAATTGGATTCTAATTCGGACTTGCCTTCTTCAAGGTGCTTTCAGGTATCTTTGTAGTAGCCAGTTTCTGAGTGAGTTTAAACTGGACAACGATGGCTTCTTCATCAGAAGTTTGGGATTCTTCTCCAGATGAACCGGACTAATCTTTTTCGATTGAAAATTCTGGAATCAATTTCATAGGACATGCCCTTAGGTAGTCTGCTCGTCTACTAATCAGGTTAGAATGAACTATATATATTCTTTTGTTTTGGCTATTAAACACAAACCAGAAATAGTACCGGAATATAGCAAAAATCTTTCATATTGAATGTAATAGGTAGATAGAATATGACATTAAGCTTAAGTAAAAACCCAACAAAGATAGAAAAACAATAATAATAACTTAAAGCAAAAATTTGTAAACGAAGGCGAAGGAAACATGAAACACCATAGGTCCTCCTCCTCTCTTTACATGGTTCTTGCAAGGCATCAATAAGCATTTGCTGGAATCATGCAAAGAATGATGAGATTTATTCAACACACAATAACAGCTTATAATGATAGAAACTAATCTCGTCTTCTCTTAAAATTGATATGTTCTTATAGCTGTCTAAAAGATTCAATCTCTGGTATGTTGGGTTCGAATTCAATCTTTGAACATCCTTCAATGTTCTTAATCGATGTTAGCTGACCTAAGGAAAAAAATGTTTTAACATAAGAACTTTTAAACATAAGAAGACATTAAACTCTTAATCCTTTAAATATTTTATACCTTCAACCCTTTCAATTTGCCAAAAACTCAGAACACACAATACAACATGTGCTCTTGTAGAATTCCGATAAGCATTTATCTGAAGGGCATTACTTCCATAAGCAACACACTTTGGATATTTATACCTGTCAGGTTATTAGAATAACAATTAAAAATATAGTACGCATAAGTAATTGAAAATGCTAAACTAAAGATACTGTTTGACGTACCCTGGACTTACAAGGCTAAAAACTATTTTAGGTTTCATTGCCCCTCCAGGCTGTCCAACATGTTCTAGTTCGCCCACAACAACCATAGCTCCATACACGTCTATTGGATATAGTTAAGAGCATGTGAGTTTGGAAAAGCAAATGAAAAAAATGTTAGTACCAACTCGTAGAACTAGGGGTGGGCGTTCGGGTTCGGGTCGGGTATTTCGGGTTTTCGGGTATTTCGGTATTGGGGTTTAGGACCCGTTCGGGTAATTTTACATATCGGGTCGGGTTCGGATATTTTTAGTTCGGGTTCGGTTATTTCGGGTCGGGTTCGGATATTTAGATTTTGAAAAAAAAATTCAAATTCTTCATTACTTAAGTTTCATGTATTTAAAAATTTAACTATCAACGTAACTTTTGTTAAATGTTTAATAAGTTGGACGATTAATAAGTTTGAAAATAAATTATTGAAAATAAAAATCATTATTTTGGTTGCTATTTTCGAATTTTGGATGCAAATTTTGTTAAAATATGAAATAAGAAGCTTAATATGCATTTTAAATGAGTAACAAATCAATTTTTTACAATTATATTTATATTATCTGATCTTAAACTATATATAACATTAATATATATATTTTTAATAAAATGAGACAAATAAACTAGGAATAAATAGGTATATATATATATATATGTTTGGTTATCTTCGGATACCCATTCGGGTTCGGGTATTATCCATTCGTGTTCGGATATCCAAACTCTCCTAACTCAATACCCGTTCGGATATTTTGCTACTTCGGTTCGGATTTCGGTTCGGATATTTCGGGTCGGGTTCGGGTACGAGTTCGGGTATCGGGTAAAGTGCCCACCCCTACGTAGAACCATCGAAATTGCACAGAAAGTTACATAATAAAATCATCCGTAGAAGTATTTACCTTAAGATCACACAGAACCATCTCAATGGTTTCACCTCCAGCAGCTGAATACTGTTTCCACAACCGAATCACTTTCACCTTGATCTTCCACATGGTCTTGAATGGTTTGACATCAGCGACAGCATTGACAGACATTATAGAAAGGTTATGTATTTCTTTGAGATTTTCTTTGTGTGTAAGATGATGTAATTGGTTTGATTGTAGGTACAACTTATATAAAAACTCTCTCTCTAGGTTAACGTGTTCTCAAAGCCACACATTAACTTCTTTGGTTTTCTTGGTGGTGAAGTTGCGTGTTAGTAAATAAAAAGTTTACTATTTTTTAAACCAATTAACTTGATGGGAAACTGAGAATATAATCGAAATAATATATATGCCATATAACATAAACCAAAAACAATTACTTCCTTTCTTGAACTAAACTTTCTGTAAGAATGGGATCTTGTTAGTTTTCTGTTTATTAAATACACAGATTTGAGCTCATAATTATCTCATTTATTACATATATCCACTATATATCCCCTAATATTACATTAAACATTTAGCCAAACTTAACCAACTTTCAATTCCAATTATAATCGGATCATTGTTCTAGGTTTGGTTGTACGCAATCCATTAAACCATGTCTATTCAATTGAAGAAAATTGTAAGCTCTTGTTCATGTTAGATGTTTCATATACACACACCAATGGATACCCATGAAGCTGGATACAACATACAATCACACCTTACAATGCTGAAACGTGAACCCATCTATGTGATTCCTGATAATAACGTGGTTAATCATATGAATACCTTACTCAAATGAACCCATCTCTGTGATTGCTGATAATAACGTTACAATGCTGAAACACCTTACAATCACACCTTATTCATGATTGCTGATAAGAACGTGGTTACTCAAATTAATACACTAAAACAGTTATCTTGAACCGAAGATGGTAACATAGAGAACCAAAGAAACATAGTTTATCTTCTGGCGAAACCATTTTTATAGCACCACTTCATCCTCTATCTTTCAAATTTTATGATTGTAACTGGTTCGGCAAGATACCACGATATCAATTCGAAACAATATAGTTAAGCCTCATTGTTACAGCAACATGAAATCCTTTGTTTATGATGTTTCATGTTTAAACTGAAAGGAGATTTTTTAGCACGAGAAAGAATCATAAACAACATGTCATGTTTCATGTTTTTCGTTTGAATTCGAAATATACATCGACAATATAAAACGTAACGTTTATAGGGAAGGTTTAATGCGACCTCATTTACTCTAGCGATTTATATTTTTTAACTATAGTTTATATAAGAGCCTCTACAATTCTTTTAAATCCAATTTAGAAGGCATACAACACTTGCCACATAGCATGGACTTTTTTTAATTCTTACAAAATTGAGGTTATAACTTCTTAAAAGATCATCAAATAATATATAGGAGATTTCTTGTATGCAACTAATCATTTGAGTTTGGTGACTTGGAACTTTAGACAATTACCAGGAAGATCAGTTATTTTAGGTGAGTTTCCTCGTACGGTACTAACTACATAACCTATTAGTTAAGATGTTAGATCAGATGTCTCTGTACTCCAATAAACAACCATGTTAATCACAACCGCCCTAGATATTTAACTAACAATTAAACCCTAAAACCTATCTTGTCTAAATTAAGTCCTAACCCCACCTTTCACAATTTGCCTAATAAAAAACCTTTAAACTCTTTCAATATTTTATAAGAAGACGCAATTTGAAAGCTTCTCTAATCGTTAATTTACTCTTTAATTATAAAATTCTTTAAGAAGAAACTCTTTTTTTAGAAAAAAAAAAACATAATGGCGTCTATTGCGACCAGTCTCCTTGTTGTTGTTACCATGTTGGTCTTAGCCGTGGCCGTAGCTTCAGAATCCAACATGCTTCAAGATGTTTGTGTTGCTGATTTGTCCAATGGTATATGCATACTTCAGTAGTATATTGTGTTCGAATTAGTCTTATATTTTGAAAAGTCTCGAGACAATTACGTTTCAGTATATTTCTTTATTAAACGTTAGAATATAAAACGAGCCATTATTTTAGTGTTTCACTTTCCACAGCATATTAGAAAATTCCTAGCTATATCATTAAGTTGTATCCCCTTGAAATCAATCGTCATAACTTGAACGAGATTAAATGGTGGTTCTTCTTCTCATTTTATGTTAATATCTTCTTGAATAATTTCGAAAATTCCATCCCATGCACTGAATCTTGCGGGTCACCATTTGATTTTCCGACCATCTAACTAAGTTGTGATTTTCATAAGAAGTTACATAGGAATTGAGATGGGATTTCTAAAGTTGATGCTTGGTTAGCTAGTTGTTATTATAGCACATCTTGAAGAGCTTCCTAAAACTTGTATATTGATTCACTTAAAATAATACATTTGTTTATTATTAGAAATTAGTTATTTCTCAACGCTTTTGAAATCAATATAGTTTAAGAAGTTCGTTTGTAAATGAGACATAATGAATTAAATAATTGAAGCAAAGGTAGGTGTGGAAACATAGGATTGGATCTTCAAAAATTATATTCCAACAATATGATTTTATTATCAAAATTATTACATAATTCCTTTCTGATTTTTAAAATCTTTTGATTTGGTAAGAGCTTCTTTATAAAAATAGATCCTACTTTTTAAGTTCTAAACATTTTCTATTTCCATTTTGTGACAAATAAAGCGGTCAAGGTCAACGGATACACATGCAAGGACTCAACACAAATAACACCCGAACACTTCTACTTCCAAGGCTTATCCTCCTTCGCAGCCACCTCAAACACCACCACCGGGGCCGTCGTAACCGGAGCCACCGTGGAGAAGCTACCAGGACTCAACACTCTAGGTCTCTCCATCTCCCGCATTGACTACGCACCAAACGGCCTAAACCCACCTCACATTCACCCACGTGCCTCCGAGATCATCTTTGTCCTAGAAGGTCAGCTCTACGTAGGCTTTGTAACAACAGCTGGAAAACTCGTGGCTAAGTACATTAACAAAGGAGAAGTCTTCGTTTTCCCTAAAGGACTTCTCCATTTCCAGAAGAACATTGCTAAGGCGGCTCCAGCTTCTGTAATAGCAGCTTTTGATAGCCAGTTGCCTGGAACACAGTCACTTCTGTCCTCTCTCTTTGGAGCTCTCCCTGAAGACATTCTAGTTAAGTCATTCCAATTCAGACCCAAACAAGTTAAGAGGATCAAGTTCAGATACCAACCCAAGAAATGAGAAACATCATTTTTTTTTTCTTTTTTTGTTGTCTCAACTGTAAACACTAAGAGCTTAAACTGAAGGCAAAGAATGTTTCACTTGTCTGAACAAAGATTTCATAAAATGGGAAAAGTCAATAAAGATTTTTTTTTTCTGTTTTAGTAATTTTCTTTTGTCTTCTGTGCATCTGTTCTTCAATTAGGTGACAATGGCTGGTGTGGCCTTCCATCTGGAATTGAGAACAAGACAATGGGTTTAGAAGGCTTGACAAATGGTACATCACATCTGTAGTAGCCTTTCCTCTCAAGCTGAATCACATCTCCACGCTGTAGATTCCTCATATTAGAATCTCCAAGTGCCAATGTTTCCTTCTTGGTGTACGGATTCGCAATAGTATCAACATCGTCATTTTTTTCCACCTGTGTTTGCAGCAAACGAGAAAAGGAGGAGGAAGAAGAAGATGATATCAGTGAATCTGGGAGAGAAAAACATTTAAGAAATTAACAGACATCAACCGCTTCTTACCTTCTTCTCCTTGATTATGTAATCAAACTCTGTTAATATGAGCTTGACCAATTCATTAGTCTCTGGAAGCCATGTGAGCTTCAGCTTTGTAGTCTTCACAGACCCTTGGAGGTTAAGAACACCAGATAACGCAGTCACACGACCATCCTCGTCCTTTGTAATCTCCTTTACAATGGCGTTTCCCCAATCCATCAAAGTGACTTCCTCATTAACAGAGATGACACTCGCATCAGCTTCCTCGATCCAAATGCTCTTGGTGAAA